CTCCATTTCCTCATGTAGGTTACATAGAGGGCATGTGGGTTGAGTGTATACTCCCAATCTGTGAAGGTGTTTTGCCAGGCAATCGTGTCCGGTACGTAGTCTAAACTCAGCAACGGCTTCGATTCTTGGCCATTCGGGTATGTCGGAGAGTGCCACTGTCCACTGTTTCTCCTTTGTTCGAGCTTTAAGTTCATTGCACCTTGAGGTCTGGAATTCTCTTCTGATTAAGGTCTTCATTGTGTGGAAAGACATCGGCCAGTCTATGCCTTTCAAAATTGTTGTACCCTTCTTAGCAGGCTTATTGCCTTTAATGCCACAGTGACCAGGAATCCATTGTAGGATCACTGTTTTGTTTGGCTCTCAGAAGAAATTAGTTGCGGATTTTTTTGTCGCACTCTTTTCCACATACATTCTTTCACATAACATCGATTGATAGTCCATTTGGAGCGAAATCTTTACCAGAAAGCTCTAGGTCCAACCACTCTGTTTTGAAAAGACCAAACGCAACACTGAACCCGTATTCAAACTCACTAATGGGTACCAAACAGGGAAATTGGACAAGATGGGAAATCTGAATTTCTCCCAATGCACGCCTTTTAAAGCTCTGTCGGCCTCTCCAATGAAAGGTTCAATTTATTTCTTAACGTTTTTTACCTTTAATGATTATCTTTAGGCTTGAAAACGACTCCAATTTCTTACTTGAACGACTACGTCCCTCAGTCGGAGGAGTTGATGTTTCAGCACTTTCATCTCCAATGTGTTTGGAGAATTGGCATCCAGTACATGCAGTTCCGATTGAATATCTAATTTGTACCTGTTGATTAGATAAAAAAACACAAATAAACACTCAATTTTATCAGATTAACCTTGACCTTTTTTAATTTTCATCAATTTACCCTTGGGATTTAAGGTAGTTTTGCAATTCAGTAATTAATAATAAATCTGTTTAAAAATTCTTCCAGTTACTTGCTAAATTTGCGATTTTTCTAAAGTGTTTTGCTCTCAGTCATGCCATAAATAAAGTACAACAGATCTCACTGGAATTGCCGTCGGAAATCCTGAAGAAGTCTTGCGGCCCCACCATGATAGAGGTAGCCTTCTCCATCTCTCGAACATTCAACTTCATCAGCATGCGTTGCAATTAAGACCACCTTTGCTCTAGACTGCAGGAGACCGTCTTTTAAAAGAAAAGAAATGCACACGCATGATCACAATTTGGTAATCCATATCGAAATTTACTCTTCACACCAAAAAACCATAAATGGTAGGCTTTGTCATTGTCAACCGCTAGAATGCTCGGATATCGTCAGTAAGCATCACAATGATGAAATTCTGGAATATGTGGCATTGGACATCTTATCATGACACGGCAAGCGATTAAAAGATGACAGCAAAATGGACTGTTTATTTACATGAGGCAAGAGGAACTAACTGCAATCGGCCAGTTTATCTAAGTACCTTACTGGCTAACTGACCTATTTCCACATGTTATAAAAAGAAAAATGTAAAAAGTGGCAATAAATCCTGCTTGAACTACTTTAAAAGATCGACCTGATTGCTGAAAGTAGGCTCGACACCATGATTCCATTTTAATTGACAGTCTGCATCACGACAAACTAACCTTCCTGAGCTGGCAGACGACTGTGGATGAATGTGAGCCAGAAGTGGACTTTTTCGCGTTGAATTGCCGGGGGATCTTTGAGACTGTAAACCACCGCGTGAACACAGCTTGTATTACCGATGAAAAAGTAGTAGAGAAAGTAGTATGGTTTGTAGCCCGAAAAATCCCAGATGCTGAATTCACTAGTGTCTACAATGCAAATCGAAACAACAACCCCACAGTGCGCTTAAAAACTCATTCCAATATCGGCAAGCTCAAATAGTAAACTATAATTGAAGTGATTAAACATTATTAAGTTTTAATGAATTTTGTGAATATCGGACTTACTTTTGATATCAATTCCTCTTGTATAATTTTCATGTTCGGCATAGAACATCTTCGCCTTCCGTTTCGATAAATTTATTAATTTGGAGTTAGTTTCTGCAGACAAATTGAAAAAAATTAACTTGTTATTACTGCGAACATTACTGCGAATCTAACCACAGATTTTATCGGCGGGGCAACATATACCACTGACCACACGAAGTTTACTGCTAAATCAGATAAGTGAAATCAAACGGACTATTTAAATAAAAAAGTAAAAAAATAATATTACATTGCACGAAACCGTATATTTGAATTTAGTGTAAGTACATCTAAAAATATCACCAATTTGTTTTAAATAACCTGTGAAAAAAGGTTGTTCTAGAATAAAAACAATCGATTTTATTTAGCCCAAAGCCTCAAAGCGATATGTAAGTATTATCTTGCCATTTTAAAAATTTCCAAATTTCATGAAAAGGCTAAAGAGGAGAAACAAAGCACTAATATTATTGGTGAAAGGTGACTAACTTATCTTTTGAGTACTTAATAACATTTTCATATACGTTTACGGAAAGCGGCTTTTTTGTTTAAAATTTCACTGGCAGCATAGCAGTCAACAAGTACGTCTGTAAAATTAGAAGCCATGGGTGCGAATCCGGTGAACAAAATGACTAACCTTGATGATCAAGTTACTATGAGCTTGAAACGAGTTTATGGAGATCTATTTTTATCAAATGGCAGGGCGTGTCGATAGTTATCATTAGCCGCTTAGCTGACTTCGGGCTTCACAGAGGAAAGGAACATCAAACTGAGAAAAAGTCGAGAGGGGGAACAGAAGAGTGATTCACAGATGTAAAAGAGACAGGCAGACACAACGGTAGAGAACAAGGTGACGTGAGTACTGTAGAAGTGGTAGAATGTGACACGCAGTAGTGTCATAGTAATTTAAAGTTAGAAGTCAACTGCTGGTTTATAAGTTATCCAAGTTGCACCACGTGGAGGTAAGTCTATAGAATTCAAAATACAGTTTCTCTCTACGCATTCAAATTTATATAGAGAATGAGATAACCTACCACAGGTTATTTAATGCTGCCAATTTTACACTCCCTCATTCTGGAAATAA